TAAATCATAAATCCAACAAAAAAAAGAAGGCAAATGCAATGGAACTATCATTCTTTTATCAGAAAAGGCATCCATTACCATAGCAGCTCTCGGACGCTGTGGAAGAGACAATGGATGAGACTCAACTGATTAAGTTAATAGGGAAGAAAGAGAAAGCAGAGTATTATAAAGAAAAAAAAAGACTGAATTCAAGTATACAGCACAGGCACTCCACCAGTGCTGCCCATCTGATACGTTTAACTGTGGTTGGATTAAGTGCTGCACATTGAGCAAAGATCAATGGATGAAGCAATTTTTGCTCACGTAAATGTGTAAAGGAATTTACTGCTGAGTGCACTGAGGTTTGTACTTTGTCTGGAGAAGCCATGAAAGGGGATGGCATCCACTCTTCTATTTTACCATGAAGAGTTCTTGATGTATGAGAAGAAATTTGGTTTCTGAGAGGACAGCCTTGTCCTTCAGGGAAAGTGCCTGTGAAGACATGATTTGATCCACTCACAAGGTCTGTTTTATGGGATAACACTAGGAAAGTTCTTCCCATTGCCCTTGCTGGAGTGGTGAGGTTGTGACCTTTTCTTTATAATTGATGCAGTGGCAATATTTTAAAGGACAAACTAGAGGATAGAATATAGCAAACAGACAACTTATCCTGAAGGGAAACCAGTAAGCTTTCTTGAGTGTTTTTTGTGTTATCCCTTATTTTAAATTCTCTTTATGTTGCTAAAATTTGCATATATTCTTTTTAATGAATACCACACAGCTGAGAGACAGTGAAAGATGCAGAAAGTGAAGCTTGTTAACATCAGTTTATTAAATTGAGTCAGACCTGATTTGCAAAAAGCCCTACATTCTTGAATTTCATAGATTGAGAAATAATTTTCACCCAACCCCTCAAACTGTTGGATTGTGTCTGTCTATTTCGCTGAAGTACTTGGGCAGCCTTCTTTGTCAGGGTGTTTAGGTACCTCATGGTCTTCTAATGATTAGGTTACATAATGTCTTATTCATCAGATTTCTCTGTCAGCTGCCTCAGCCCTCAATGCCTTTGGCAGGTTTCAGCATGGTGTTTTTTCAGGTTGGCTTTTTCTGCTGCTAAGGCAGGAGCTCTATGTCCATGACAAAAATATACGCTGCATAAGCCACAAACATCATTTCCTCAACTCCAAGATAAACTTCACCATGGGAAAAATTTAGATGAGTATTTTATGTTTGCATACTACTTTCTATGCCAGAACCTTCACCCATACAGTCCCATAAGATTTGGTCCCCGCAGCCATATGCTTCATCGACCATTGAGAGAGGAAGTCAGGACTAAGCTGTCAGGGCTGATCTTGTAATGCAGACACCTTTAGTCACCTCAGAGCATCATTCGTTCTCCATCTGTCCAAAAGGTTAAACGTTAACTTTGGCATGAATCAGAGGCAATGGAAAAAAAAGGAAGATATTTATTTTAATAACTTGCTTTCTTTATAACCTTTCTCTTGATAAAAGATGTGTCTACCCGTTAAGTTAGTTGTCAGCTTATGATCTTTGAGATTTTGATGTAGGATGTTTGAAGGACTAAGATAGAATAAAACACAACAGCCACTTGTGAGTGTCCAACCAAGTTTTACTTTGGTTTTTTAAATCCTGCTTTTGATTATTGTACCTCATTACATCTATGAATCAAACCATTTAGTATGAAAAAGTTCTCCATCTAGAATTTTATGTACTATGTAACCCAATGAACTAACCATGTTCTTCACCATGTAGAGTTAGGACTGAGTTTTCTGCCCTGCTACTCAGAACCCTTTTCCCATGATCATCATCTTTCCAATGGAAATTATAATAATTTTTTTTATTTCATTACCACTTATGAAAACTTGTTTTAGAAATTAACCAGTCACCTGAAATAAACAGACACAAACCCTGGCTTCCTAATTCATTTCATAAAATTAAACATCTGCACTCCACTCTATGCGTCTGTAGTAGGTTGACCTTGGCTGGACACTAGGTACCCATCCAGCTGCTCTATCACTTCCCTTCCCAGCCAGACAGGGGAGAGAGTAAGGTGGAAAAACAACTTGTGGGTTGGAACAAGGCAGTTTATTTAAAGTGAAAGCAAAGCCAAAGATTGCTCAAGCAAAAGTGAAGAGAATCGAAAGATAGCAGGATTTATTCTCTGCTTCCCGTGAGCATCCATGGTCGGCCACTCCCGAAGAGCAGGGCTTCAAGCATATGACAGTTTCTCAGCAGGCAGCCATTGGAGACAATGAATGCCTGCCTTCCTGCTCCTTGCCTCAGCTTTTATATCTGAGCTGATGTCATATGGTATGGAATATCCCTTTGGTCAGTTTGGGTCAGCTGGCCTACCTGGGTCTCCTCCCAGAATCTTACCCTTGATTGAGGAAAGGATTGATGCCCTTCCTTACTTCACTGAGTATTGAAAACTCTATCATTTTGTGGTCACTGTACCCCAGACAGCCTGTGACCACCACATCTCCCACCAGTCCTTCTCTGTTTGTAAAAAACAGGTCTCATGGGGCCCCAGTCCTGGTAGGTTCATTTATCAGCTACAACAGGAAATTATTCTCCATACCCTCTAGGAATCTCCTAGACTGCCTCTTCTCCGCTGTGTTGAGTTTCCAGCAGACATCTGTCAGGTTAAAGTCATCCACAAGAACAAGGGCGGGCGATTTTGAAACCTCCGCCAGCTGCTTGCAGAATAATTCATCACCATCATCATCCTGGTTGGGTGGTCTGTAACAGACTGCCACCAGGATGTCAGCCTTGTTGGCCTTCCCCTTTATTCTGACCCATAAGCACTCAACCTTGTCATCACTGACCTCAAGTTTTACAGACTCAAGACACTCTAACACATAGAGCCACCCCTCCACCTCTCCTACTTTTCCTTATCTCTTCTGATGAACATGTAGCCATCTATGGCAGCACTCCAGTCATGAGTCTTCCCACCATGTTTCCTTGATGGCAACTACATCTTAAGTTTTCCTGCAGCACGATGGCTTCCAGCTCCTCTTGCTTGTTTCCAATACTGTGTGCATTGGTGTACATGCACTTCAGCTGTGCTGCTGATATCGCTCCTAACCCTGGGTTTCTACCCTTAGGCTCATCTCTGGAGAGCCTTGTTTCAACTCCTTCCCCTTCAAACCTAGTTTAAAGCCCTCTTGATCAGCCCTGCCAGCTTATATGCTAGGGTTCTTTTGCCATTGCTAGATAGACGAAGCCCATCTGACTCTAACAGGCTTGGTACCATAAAAATTGCCCCATGATCAAAAAAAACCAAAATTCCGCTGGTGGCACAAATGCTTTAGCCACCTATTGATAAAATGGGTTTTCTTACTCCTCTCCTCATTCATCCCTGCTACTGCAGGAATTGAAGCAAACACCACTTGTGCTCCTGTCCCATCAACTAATCGACCCAAAGCTTTAAAGTACTTTTTAATTAGCCTGGTACCTCTTTATCAGTCTCATCACTGCCAACCTGGACTACCAACAATGGGTAATAATCAGAGGGCCAAACTAGCTCGCGAGTCTCCTGCTAATATCCTTCATTCAGGCCCCAGGAAGGCAGCAGACTTCCCTGTGGTTTGGGTCCAGTCAGCATACAGGGCCCTCAGCTCCCCTCAGAAAGGAGTCACCAACTACAACTACCCTTCTTTTTTTCTTAATAGTTGCAGTTTTGATCTGTATAATAGATGGAGTGCAACTGGGAGACCCTCTAGACCTTTCTTTTCTAGATCACCTTTCTTTTATTTATGATTTCAATAAACCCATTGAGAAATATAAACATTAGAAACACTCTTCTCTGTAAGCTGAGGATATTCAGTTTTATATCTGTAGTGTCACCAGAGGCCAGTTCTATCTTTGGACTGTACCACCCGTGCGCCCATCCCTAAAGCATAAAATTAAATAATGCTGCAGTATAAGACAGAGCAACAAATTTGGTCATTCTTTAGGAAAAATAGTTTTAAAAAGAGCGAGATATGATATTTCTAATTACCAGGAGAAGCAAAGAATACTGTTGGATTTCAGTAGTGCGAACTACTGTACAGCTTGTATTCTGTGTATCAAAAAAAACCCCTCTGATATGAGAAATAGCTATTTCTTCTTGTTCCTACTACAAAATCATAAGAATCTCAGCAAGATGGTACAGTATGGCAAAACGAGGATCTACAAACTACTCCTTATATCAGATATTTTTCTAATTCCTATGTATTTCTTTGTGTGTTTTCATATTTTGTATACTTCCAGAAAAACACCTTTACATAGCTATAGATGCTCTCCTAACAAAAATTCTAGAATGGCACTGGGGAATTCATCCTTTTGCCAAGTCAACAACTACAGCAATATCCCAGAACGACACTGCAATTTAATTCTAGTTAATTTTTAAATCTTATTACCTCACAATAAATTATAAATATCAAGGGAAAAATAAGATAGTAAAAAACATGTGAGCCATGGACAATAACAGAGGAAACAACAATGGATTTCTACAAAAGTGAAATGGAAAATGGACTTCTACAAAAGCAAAATGGAAATGTCTGAATGCTGTTCTGTAGTACAGTAGTTTTTTTAAGAAGAAGGGAAAATCTTGGTAGAATGTCTTTCCTTAGGTCTGGGTCAGTCAGAACATACACATTAACCCAATGCATGTCAACAGTCCTGTTGAATTCAATCATACACAATTCAAATGCACACAGTCCCTACTTCAGATGTGTTTGCAAATCAAAGCTGCTTGTAGTGATATTAGGTAACATTCTTAAAATTGTCTGGATTATTTAAGGTCCCACAGCCTGAGACACCAAAATCTGCCCTGGAAAAAAACCCTCAGATTGTCAAAACATTCAGAGATCCCCTGAGGCTTCAGCCCCAAAGAAGGAGCTTCTGTTCCCATTTAGAGCAGAGGGCAATTAAAAACCTTGGGAAAACTAGTGCAATAAGAATTCACTTGGGGTTTCAAGAACTAGGAGACATTCATGGAGGGAAGCTTGGGCACTTACCTCTACTCAAATGGGTAATTCCTCTACCATGTGCATAGTCTGTAGCAGTGCATGCTCTTCCGAAAGTATTTTATCCCAGTTTTTCCATTACTGAAAAGCTAGAGAGAAAAGGACTTTCAGTGGAACAAGACCCAGAAAGCTAGAGCAAATTTCAACAGAAAAAGATGTGAGCTTCGGATATCTTTTGTACTTCTTTGAGAGCAAGGTCTTGCATATGGATCTGTTATGTCCCTGAAGTACCTTCCCAGTGATGGTTTTTTGGGGTGTGGTACATGGACACAGCTGCAAAATTTCTGGCTTTCTGCACCTGGGATGCAGACTTCATTTCACCTTCACACCTCTCAATCATAATCCAGCACAATGAGACTAAACTAACTCGGGAAACTGACTCAGATCTTAGGACCAAGTATTCTAAGTTGTTTATTCTCTGTGGCAGCACGGAGATTGCTTGGCTCAGACTTACTAGCAAAAAAAAAAGGTGGGTTTTGAGCAGCAGTTTTGTGACTCTGCACTAAATGATGAGCTTAGGCACCTTAAAAAATAATTTTTTTTGGAGATAGTACTACTTCCCTTGGGCTAATTATATGAAGAAGAGTCTGAATTTCTTTTGCTCTGATTCTTCCTCTGACTTGAGAAAAAAAATAACTGTCATCTCATGCATTATATTTAAATATCCTTTGCATGAGATGAATATAAAATGAATAAAATAACCTAAGTCTGAACTAAGTCTTGTCATGCTGTGTGTCACACACCTTTGGTACCTTCCCTCTCATAAGAAATGGAATGAATTTCTATTTTTATTTCTGATATTTTAACTTTGTTAATACAGTTGCTAAAGCAACTGTATGGAACTGGACATTTCAGCACATTAAGGAATAAGTCAGATGAAGTATTAAGGTGGTGGGTTGTTCTATGTCTTAAACAAGTGAGATTAATATTTAATTTCTTGTAACTTAAATACAAACGTGTGTATGGATGATCATCCATGTAAGGACAAGAGTCTGCTCTTGATGGAAGAAGTACTGCAAAATATCTTTTGTCACTTGTATTGAAAAGCATTGACCGAGTAGCTTGGTGAGAAATATGGTAGAAGACAATCCATATTGTCTTTTAGTGACCTTAGAAGAATTTCTCTACGCAAGTACACATGCACACATACACACACACATTTTTAATTAGTCTGCTAAATTACTAAGCTCTAGATTGTCCCTGAGGACCACTGCATGAGTAGTTGATTTGGACTAGCTTGTAGCATTTAGGAAAGTTGTGACCTTGTTTTCTTCTACTTCTCTTCTACCTTTCCTTACTGAAATAGGTAAAATATCAACCAATTCTACCCTAGATAGAGAAATATTCTCAACTTGACTTTGCTGGTTTTGGCTGGGGTAGAGTTAATTTTCTTCATAGCAGCCAGTATGGGGCTATGTTTTGTGCTTATGTTGAAAACAGTGTTGAGAACTCGGGGATGACTTAGTCACTGTTGAGCTGTGCTTACACAGCTTCAAGGCCGTTTGTGCTACTGATCCCACACTGACGGTGAGGGGGCTTGGGGTGCACGAGGAGTTTCAAGGGGACACAGCTGGGAGAGCTGCCCCCAGCTGACTAAAGGGATATCTTACACCTTATGGCACCCTGCTCACCGTATAGAGTTGGGCGAAGAAGAAGGAAGGGGGGGATGTTGAGAGTGATGGCGTTTGTCTTTCCAAGCCACCATTAAATGTGATGAAGCCCTGCTTTTCTGGATATGACTGAACACCTGCCTGCCCATGGGAAATGGTGAATGCATCCCTCGTTTTGAATTGATTGAGTGTGCAACTTTTTCTTTACCTGTTAAACTGTCTTTATATAAGCCCACAAGTTTTCTCACTTTTGTGAGCAGGTGGCTGCATGGGTCTGAGTTGCAGCTGGGCATAAATCATGACAATGATTCTCAGCTTTCATATCTCTCACCCATCCCTCCCTTAAATTGCATTTTTAAAAATGACTTTTCCTTTCTATAACCTTCTTTTGCCCTTTCAACTAATACAAATGAAACAGTATTAAACCAAAGTTTTAAGCATACATTAATAAGGTGGATCAATTATCAGAGCAAGAAAGCTAGGAACTGTTGCATAAGCCCTGGCTCATAATAATAGATTGATGCTCACAGATATTCCAACTGTAGTTTTGGATATAACTTCCTAAGGTAGATGTATTCCTCTTCACAGCTCCACAGGTATGATCTATTGGCTGGTCCTAATGTGTGTTGAGTACCATACTCAGAAATATGATGTGGCTTCTTTCTGGTCGTCATGTCTGTATTTCTTCCCATGGAAACTAGGATCTAGGAGAAGACAGCAAGAGGACTTGTTCATTCCTGGATCTTGCTCTAACACATATTTGGACTCACAAACTGGAAAGTACTCTGAAGGCTTGCAGTTTAAATACAACACCAGTGAGCATGACGAGCTTTCATAGACCACAACGGTGTCTCTACCCAAAGTTTCACAAACCCTTTCCTAACCCAAACTAGCAAGACATGGGGCTGCAGACACATGTTGTCCCTTGGCTCTTCTCCCCACAAGTTGGCAGGTGAAGCTGCCTTCTCCTGGGCTGCTGGGACAGAAGGCCTGGGGGTACAAAGCACAACAAAAAGTGTGTCACAGGGGATGGACCATGCAATGGATGGACATGGCAATTTGACACATTTTGAAGATTCTTGACATTCTGAATATAAATCTGTATCTCCAAAGGTTGGTTCCTGTTAGGAGGTCTATGGCAGTAGTCCCCTTGGCAAAATGCTTCTAAAATAATTGGCAAAGACTTCTTAAAATAAGCAAGATTGAGACAGCTATCCTCTTGCAAGTTTTCTTTATGGGCAATCTTTGTGAGGTTTTCCTGTTTTATTCATCTTCATCTTTGGTGATACTGTAAAGGCTGGAGAAGTAAAGAAAGGAGTATATACCTCCAATTTTTATCCCACTGCTTCGAATAATTTCTCACAGACCAACTACTTCATTTCAGCAGACTCAGTTCAGGTCTTACAAAAATATGACTTTTAGCAGCCGAGAACTTTTATTCCTTATAACAGTTGACTCTTAAATTCCTTTTTGCAACAATAATATGGAATATTTAACTGGTTTGCCCATTCGAGAGCTATCTCTCCATATAAAAAACAGTTGCCTGTTTGTATATATAGGTGTGCATATATGTATATAAATTAGAAAGCTGCAGCTCAGAATAACAGCTTTATGTGCACTTGGATTACTAGATCTAAATCTTTTACATATAAATATCTTGTGGGTATTGTCATACTAAATGTTTAATACATTCTGGAAACAGCTAGTGCTAAAATGAATAGTATATAAAGAGAAATACGTCAAGTTACACTTTAAAAATAAAGTAATTACTTCCTATCATTAGACACGATTACTTTGTATATCAAAGCAGTGTGCCACACTTGTATTTTCAAAACTAGTTTTATTCTTACCATAAGGTTACCAAGAAAAAGGAAGTATAAGTGCATGATAACTATCCAGAGGTTTTATCCACACCTGTATTCTTACATCAAAGTGGGTTCTATTTTTCAAACTCATTTCTCACTAATGCAAATCCAAATTTCAAATTCATTAGAAATGAAAGGAAGCATTTTATTTTCAGCCTTGAAGAACTTTGTCTTTAACTAATATTAAAAATTTTTAACTAAGCAAGATACATACTTAATTATTTAAAACGAGGAAACTAGTCGGTGGCCACAAAAGGAACTCATTTTCCCATAGCACATCAGAATAAAATTTTTTTAATTAATTCATAATCAGTGTAGCATTCCTGTCTAAAAGAAGTTGGCAGATTTTTGTTTATAGTTTCAACAAAGAGCACATGTTGTTTTCATCAAAGGCTCCTCAACACGTAAAGCCAGACAGTACAGCAGATGCCACTGCGTCTTAATATTGAATTTATATTTTGAAATAAAAGATGAACTTTGGTTACACATTCTTTTGTGTCAGAAATCATCCCTAAGCTCTTCCTCTGAGTCTCCCCTTCCTAGCCCTCCTAGCGAGGCAGCAGTGCTCACTGTGGGCCTGTCCCACTTAGCGCTTGCTTCTTGATATGCATATGAGTCACCACCACCTAAAGAAGCTCATTTTGATATTAGGAATTGGTACTACAGGCCATTTAAAAGAGAATTATATGACAACCTATCCTACAAACAGAGAAGGAGTAGTAAAAAATGTACAGTATTGTGTATTCCCTCACAGACTTTAGGAAGACTGATGAAAGTACTATTCAATGTTTATTCATCTGGGACTTTTTAAACCAAAACAATGTCATTTTCCCTATACCATCCATCCAAAGGACACTGGAAAGAGAGTGTAGAAATAACATATGGTCAGATATTTTTCCAAGTACACTCTAAATACTACACTATACCACCTCAAGATTTACTTTGGACAGTGGTAAATATTACAATTTGGCCTAAAGGTAAGAGAAGTGATGGTAGGGATGTTCAGTGTGAAAGAGCAAGGTGAAAGTTAATTATGTGTCTTGTTTGATCTGCAGATCTCATTGAGATTTCTTCTTTTACTTCTTGCAAGTCAAAACTGATTATACACTGCTTTGTGAATTGATGAAGTCTTGGACCACAGCACAGCTGACAGTCAGGTGGCCAATGCTGTCACAAACAGTCAGCTGCTACAAACACCCTGTAATTCAGGGTGGAGTTGGGTCCAATGCAGGATTTTTTTCCAAAGTTACCACTTTCCTCCTTCTATTCTCCCCAGGCCCCAAACACGTGACTTAGACAATATGTGTGGTTGTGTTTTCCTTTACTTCTTCTTCCTGTTGTTGTTGCCTCAAGGAGTAGGAGACATTGCTTCCTCTCTCTCTCTCTGATCAGAATTCCCTCCAAAGCTGCATTTTCTGAAAACTGTCTCTTGCCTTCCTGCCTATCTTTGAGGTCTCCTATTCCAGCCTCCTTTCTTAGTTCACCAAGAATCCCCTTGATGTGTACTCAATAATGTTGTCAGAATGTAGTCATAGGCATTAGACGATGGCTCCAGAAGGTGATCATCTGCCCAGAGGTGGGACACTTGCGCCAAGAAGAGGCAACATCCACTTAAGGTGTCAGGAAATTAAGCATGTAATTAGAGGGGGCCCATTTCTCAATTTTCCTCTGTTTCTCTCCCTTTTTTTTTCCAAAATACAGTCCTGAAGAGTGTATTGTACTGACTGAGGAGAAATAGAGAGCACATCTCACTCTCTCTCTCCAAGCAAAACGATGATAATCAGCAGTTCTGCTGCTCCCTAAAAGTACTTACTTGAACAGAGGTATGGCACTGGCTGGGTTGCCTGTTTTCTGAAGTGTTAGAATGTGTTAGCACTGTGCTGGGTAAGCATTCTGCTAAATAGATAAACCAAGATACAGAAAATGTTCAGGAACTTGCCCAAGGCCATACGTCAATTCAATAACAATGCTGGGAATTAAAAACAAGGTTGAAGTTTTTCAAAGAGAAATACTTTCTCACAGGGAAAGAAGGTCTTTATCAACAGTCCTGGGGAAAGTGGGCAATTGTGAGCTCTTGAAGTACTTTATTTTTTGCAAAGCCATTCCTGAACAATGCTCAACTTTTAAAAATGGCTTGTTCCAGAACTGGAAATTATTAGCTAAAAGTGGAAACATTGATAATCTGTTCAGATGTATTGTGGATAAAAAAGCAACATCTCCAATGATTCTCAGTCACTTAGTAAATACAGCACAACCTGAAAATCTTGAAGTTTTCATGGAAATACATTGTTATTGGTGTGTTGTGCTTTGGGGTTATTTTTTAGTTTTTATTTTTCCCAAGAGCATGGCTTAAAAACACAGAGGTTACCTTCTGGCTTGACCCAAGAAGAGGACACAGGAACGTGTTTCCACTGGATGCATATGTGGCCTCAGCAGAGGTAGTTGGAGTTTGTCCTGCCCAGTCCCCTCTGCCATCGTTTAAGCTTCCAATTTCTACCCTACACATGAAACTCAAGCATTCACCCCCTTACTCATCCAGTTTTTAACAAAGAAATTATAGATGCTTGTGTTCATCATGGCTACTTCATCAAGAATATATTAGGGAAAAGGCCAAATCCTTACCTGTGGTAAGTGTGTTTATACAATGAGCTCCAATAGCCAGAGCATCAGGCATCTGCTCTAGTGTTGCTGATGCTGCATGTGTAGTGCTGAGAGAGAGAACGTATCACAGTGTCTTCTTTCATTTTGGGACATCTCAGGAGACCCATCACCTTATGAAGCTGACAAGTTCTCCCAGCCATAAGAGGCTGTTCCAGACAGATGTTTGACAGGCACAGCCACAGCTGTAGAGCTGTTAGCTGGTAGGGAAAACCTCTGCCTCTGAGAGAGGCCAGTTGCTTCTGATGTGATTTCCCTCCAACATGAGAAGAGGTCTGTCTCCCTGGTAAAGCTAATGACAACACTTTGTGACTGGATTGACGGTGATTTAGAGTTTGTCTTTCTACTAAGATGCCATGTAAATACAGCCAGAGCCTTCATCTCTCTCCAGTTTTGTATATTCACAAAAGCTCTGGGTGAAGGAGCTTATCAATTTTAGAGAAATATTTTTATTTTTTTAAAGGTAGAAAAACTTCTGAAATTGCAGGACATTTAGTTCCATTTTAAATTAGGAGTTTTAGACAGCATTCCTAACTAACTATAGTTGTAGTAACAGGCTTAATCCATTTAAAGCATGAAACAGAGATGCATTTCTTATAATTGAAAATAAATTACTGAACAAGTTTTATAGTAAATATAATTCAGTTCAACACTATGGTTTAATAAAGAAGTAGCAAAAGAAATAATTTAGTAAACATATAGACTTTGCAAAGGTAGTCTCATCACTGGCACAAATGCCTTTGCATAAGCTTTGTTGTGTCAATTATACTTAGACAATTATAATGGCCATTTTTTTTCCTTTCAGTGTTTGTTTTACTGCACAGGGCCATGCTTTAGTGTCTATCATATGGATTATGTCATTTCCCTCACAGAAATGTTCTGACAGACACTCAGAAATATCACACCTCCATCCTGGATTGAACCTCTCTGTCCATGTCATCTACACCACGCAATGAGTGGGCTGATCATGTAAGAGGAGACAGTTCTGCCTATTTGCATGGCACATTATTTTGTTCTCAAATGCTCATACAGACAGTTTCTGTGAACTAGAACAAAGTATTTCCTGACCTTCATAAAAAGTCAAACCTCCAGCACTTTGGCCTTTATGGCAACGGCACTCTTCCATGTACGGTATGTAGGACAAAGTAAGAAAGATTTTAGGGACAGAAATTCTATT